AAGCCGTCTGGTAGCGTCTAGCCTGGAGCTGGGGCTTCAGGTCCATGTAAGAAGGCTTGGAGCCAAAGTTCATTGCCGTAGGAAGATCGCGATCAGCAATTCAGACTCTGGCATCATGGCTCAACATTGCTGTCTTATCGCAGAAGAAACCTGACGCAAGCGAGGGAAAGAAATATGATAGTCGAATCATCGCGTGGGTGGCAGACTAGGATCCCGATACTGGTAGAATCCATTCGGGGCGACATTCTGATTGGGAGGCTCGCCTAAAATGCGTCACTAGGAAAGATAAGTGGATCGTCACAGCGGTGCCGACAGTCTGTAGTACTCTGTATAGTCTGTCTTATTGCCCTTATTTCCACGTGCCAATGTTCCTAATGCTGGGGAAAGCTGTATCTAACTCCTGCAGTAGGGCTTATTGTTGGAGACCCGAGATTCACGTTGCTGATCGTTTCCCACACCTTGACGTCAAAGGGCGCGCGGGGTTCCCTAGCATGGTATGTCGATATCATTGATAGAGTAGAGCATAGCAAACAAAAACAACGCATAGAAATTCAGAGTAGGTAAATATTTCCTGTCTTTATTATATATATGATACACTTGGAGACATTCTTGCAAGTTTGCCAATACGCCTAGTTCGTCACCTTTGTTCAGTCCCACCTAGAGAAAGAATCGCCAGCATGGTTGGCAAGCTTATACCAAAGTATGTTTTGGCGTCTATTGCTGTGGCATTGGGCGGCTTTATCAATGGCTACGACACGGGTTCCGTAGGCGCCGTGATGGAAATGGACGAATTCACAAAGACGATGGGACATTTGTCGCCTTTTCTAATTGGTTTCTCGGTATCGCTCATTATGCTCACGGGTGCAGTGCCATCCATCTTTGGCGGCCAGCTCGCAGATTCTCTGGGCAGATTAAAGGTCATTACGCTCGGCGCAGTCTTTTTCGGCATCGGCGCCGCCATTGAGGGAAGCGCTTCAAGTCTGGACCAGTTTCTGGCCGGAAGGGCCATTGCCGGGTTCGGCCAAGGCGTCTTTCTGAGCAACGTGAGCGTCTACATTTGCGAGATTGCACCCTCCAAGCACCGCGGCATCCTGGCGGGTCTGCCGCAGTTCATGGCCACGGCCGGTATATGCGTGGGCTATTTCACCTGCTACGGAACAGTCAATATACAATCTGGCATGGCATGGAGGATCCCTTACATCATTCAGTGCGTCATCAGCGTCTTATTCATCGCGAGCTGCATGATTATCCCAGACTCGCCGCGGTGGTTGATGTTGCATGGGCGGCGCCAGGATGCCCTCGTGGCCTTGGACTGGTTGGACTTTTCCATGATCGAGGCCGAGCGGGACTTTCTCACCGCCACGGAGCAGAGGAGTAGCCTTTCCCTGTGGCAGAGTTTGGTATTGCTCTTTCGACGTGGATATCGATCGCGGACCATCCTGGCTCTTTTTGTTCTGGGCATGGTTCAGCTATCAGGCATCGATGGTGTCTTATATGTAAGTTTATCCCCGCTGAAGCGGTCAGTCAAGTCTAATGCGATACCAGTATGCGCCCGTACTATTCTCACAGGCTGGACTCTCGTCATCGACGGCATCATTCCTTGCTTCCGGCGTCTCAGCCATTCTGATGCTCGCCATATCGATCCCGGCTTTTTTGCTCGCGGATAAATGGGGACGTCGCACCTCTGCAATCACGGGAGGTATTGGCCTTGGAAGCCTCATGTTGTTGATTGGCACCCTGTACGCTGCGGGTGTGGTTCATCCGTACGGAGTCGCCCGCTGGGTCGTGATTGTGTCCGTCTTTGCATTTGGCCTCACGTACTGCGCAACTTGGGGCATTGTTGGCAAGATTTATGCCAGTGAGATTCAGCCCTCAAATACGCGCGCAGCTGCAAATTCTGTAGCTCAAGGTCTTGCTTTCGTAAGTAAAACTTTCATGAAATACTTCTTCCCTGGTATAATTTTCAGTACTGATTGTGCCGAGTTCAACAGATTACCAACTGGCTTGTCGCAATTTTGACGCCGATCCTGCTAGACAAGTCGGCCTTTGGTGCTTACTTCCTGTTTGGAGGATTTGCCCTCGGTACGGTTGCCGTGCTCGCTGCTTATATGCCAGAAACCCGGGGCCGTTCGCTGGAGGAGATTCAGGAAGCCTTCCACCAGCCAGGAATCAAGAATCTCACCCAAAGTCTGCGGAGGCGACTCTTGCGCAAAGTAGGAAAGAATGGCAGGGAAAGCATTGAGCTTGCGGACAATGGGAATAACGCGCTGGCTGTACCGGATTCCAACGGATCTTCGCTGGCCGGCTTGCGGCTTACTGTCAGTGCAGCTTGAGATGTGATGCATTTAGTTTGTGTGTCCGTTGTGTGTCCTGTTTCTCATTTGGACAAACATCTACACGAAAGCTTTGGGTGTAAATACGAGAGACTCCTAGTGAGAGAGGAGATTGGTGTTGACTGAGGGATACTTGCCTACCTTGACATAGAATCTAAATGCGACCAGAGAAATATTCCAATATGTTATGCATCTGTAAATAACTGCTTGGTCTTGATGAAACCATTTGATCCAGCGATGAAAATCCCATAACTGCACGAAATGGATATCATTTGCCAGCGTCAATATTCTTGAAGGCAATACTGATTCTTTCCTATTTTCGCAAGCGAGCACATACTGCACAGGCACAAGGGTCTCTTGATCAGCTGGTATTGATCCCAAGACTCCCCTCTTTCTAGAAATTAGTTTGGTTGCAGGGAGTATCCGGTGGTGACTAACTCTAGAGCAGTTCCTTCCATATCCGCATCTACCTCAACTGCACATCAATGGGCGACTCAATTCACAAATGACCACATGCACCTACAACAGTTGCCAGAGGGAAGCTGCTGCTTGGTCCGAATTTCGCACAAATACGTGGCAGAATTGATGCCGATAATCTTGGAATCTTGAAAACTGTGTACCCTTTTCAAACTGCGGATCACCAAATTGCATGCGTGCTCATTCAATTGCTCAGGTCAGGACAGCTATTCAAGTTTGCTCAGGACCTCCTTCCTATTCTACTACACTGATTTGCATTCGTCGCTGAACTCACGGTATGTCTAGATCCTTCCGTTCAAAGCCTGGGTTTTGCGTCTGCGTCTGAGCACATGCACTCATCCGACCAAGCCTGTATCCTTACAATCGGAGTTTAACTGTACGAAAATTTTCGTATTGCTCCGGCAACATCCTTACTAAATCGTCATCCCCGTTGACGAGAAAATTCCCTCCACCCCATCTTTGTTGATCGTCACCTCCTCTTCAATATTTCATTACCTTGCATCTGTTTATTGTGGCTGCTTTGTTACCTGAGCCAACACTGATCTTCGCAATCGCTAGCAGAAGAAACCATCGACACCAGCTCAATCGCCACTTGCAACAACCACATCAGTCTCCTTTGGTATTCCTGATTTTTGTACAAGTTGCTTCGAACCTTCGCCACAATACAATTTCCTGCCGTATGTTCAATTTCACCGATCATCAGCAACCTCCTTGGAGTTCGGTACTGGTAAGACGCCTCAAAGCTGCGCAAAGTGGATGTTTGTTGCATCTTTGAAGATGGTGCATACACGCAACTCGGCCTCGACTACGCCTTGGTCGGAGGAGGTCAACGCACATTTTACGGTAAAGGGCCTGGACCTTGTCAGGCTTGTCGAGTACCAGGAAGAGGATCTTCATGCCGAGATTCAACGTCGGGCTGTTGCCGCAAAGAAGGCTGAGATTCGCAACCACATCGATCGACTCGCAGCCTTTCCTTTTGCTGATCTTGATGATATCGAGTTTCGCAACATCAACGCCTGGCCCGGAGAGGAGAATCATTCCAATTCAATCGACAGCAACGACTTCTGGGGGATCGAGACGGACAATGGCAATGGCGGAGGCTGGGGCACAGATGCTTGGATTGACAAAGACGACGACACTTTCTCCGGCAGCGATGACTGCAGTAGCATCGTGGGCGACGATACCAGCTTCCTAGAATGTCACATGGATACGCAGGACGATTCATGGCCGTCCAGTCCATTGCCGTGTTTTGGAGACAGCGACGTGAGCTCATCACACGCCTCCACACCCATTGGCTCCGAGTTTGGCCAGTATCAGGAGCACAGTACGAACGTCACTTCCTTCGAGAAGAGACTCAAGTGGAAGTTTCCGTCGGCCTTTGAAGAGAATGAGAAGACAGTTGCTCACACTGAGGAGAGTATAGGTCATTATCTAGACGCGGCGGATTTTCTAATCGACCAAACCACTCGTCTAAGTGAGCAGCGCCGCGAGCGACAGAAAAGAGCTTTCCGCAGGATGACGAGAATTCCCTATACTAGGGAGGAATGGGATAAAGGGCCGTCTGCCATCGACTGGGATCTGGTGACCAGAAATCTCGACGCACGCATGGCTGAGCGCAAGGCATCGAAGAAATCCAAGCTGTCAGAAGAAGTCCGTTGAGTAACAAAAGTACAGCTGCTCAGAGCCATGAGATTGTCCACCAGAAACGTTTTTCGAGCCAGATGCCCCGAGGTGCTTTTCTAATGTCTTCGATGACGAATCTCAGGAGGCCGAGATATGTTCAAACAAGATACGAAGAATCATTCTTGGAATAGACGAAAGACCTATAGAAGCCAGCATAGTAAACAACGATCATATCGATGCACTACTCCTTTAGCCGTGGCGATCTTGCAAATCTGGACTCTGCATCAAATCGGATTGATCTTCAGAACAATGCAGTCAAGATTTCCAGGAGTGAGATTGGATTGGGTTGAGAAGATGATGAATAGCCCCAAGTAGTGCTGTCAGGTTCAATGGCAACATGTACGGAGTGCCCACGATTAGAAGGCGCGTCTGGTTGACGAGGTGGGACCAGTTCGTTGTGTACATCTGAGCTAGCGCCCGGCTAGGCCAAAGTTCGAGCTCTGGGTTTGTAGCGGCAAAACGATATAGACTGCAAAAATGCCCTCATCTTCAACAAGACCCACACAAGGCATTGTGGCAGAGTGGTCTAATGCGCAAGACTAGAATTTCTATCTATCTTGTTCCTTCGGGAGCGTCTGTTCGAATCAGGCCAATGTCGATTTTTGGTTCCTACGGCTATATAGAACCATTTCTTTTTTGGTTCCATCATATGATTTATTCTTAGCCAATTTACGAGTTGTGACGGGCGTGGTGGAAGCAGTTGTGATATTGAGTGTTGTTCGCGGCGGTGGTGCGCTGTATTTCTGGTTCTGGCGCTGCGCTGTACCACCTACGGCGCTGTACCATCCACTATATTATACCACTGATTGCATTGTATTGCACTCACTGCACTGCATGACGTACTGTGCTGCATCCGACCTATACGGTCCTAATAATGACGTAGATCTTAAGCCTGCATCGGGAGCTGGCAAGCAACTGTATCATCAATTCAGGCGGGAGCACAATACATAGGTGGTCCAGTATGGTGGTATCGGCTGCGTTGGTAGAGGCTTACATAATACGCACGGGGCCCCATGCATATACTGGGAGCCTCGTGCCTCTTGTGGATACAAATGGAAACTTACTTCCTGTGTGATAGTATGAAGGATCGTGTCGAGATGTCTTCAACAAACTCCACCCTTTGCGACGAACTCGATGAAGTGCACCGCGGTGCGCTCTCGCGGTCCATAAAAAATGTACTGGCAACAGACCTTGCCTCGACAACTTATGCGCAAATCATCGATGGTCTCCCGCTTGCCGATGTTGCCTGGGATCAGTACACGTCAAAAATTTGTGACAGTCATCCTATTAATGAGCATGTCAATTTATGTCCGGGCGTTACGGACAAAGCCAAAGACCTGCTATCAGATTTTGATGTTGAAACACTCAAATTCAACCAAGCTGTGAGAACGCATACACATCGAGTGAGCCACTACGATTTACTGATCCAGTGTGTAGCTACTTCGAGCATTCCAGACAGCTCCCCCATCTTCGGCGCGAGCTTTCGACATGCGGCTGCTCGAGTTGACTGCTGTAGCACTTCATCAGATTGGCGTGCTCTTGTTTCAGCTTCAGCTACAGCTGCACGACCCAAGCACAACACACGGTTTGGACATCGAGTCTGTCACTTCCTGGGAACAGGAACCGAAGCCTCCATTTCTACGCATCGTCCCAGATCCTACACTCTTTACAAACCCACGTTTTACGGCTCAAGACCAATATCCGAACGGTCTGGCTGACGTCGTCGGGTACTGGGCTGAGAACCGTATATTGGGGGGTGTACTGCTGTTTGACCGATCACAAAACTGGGAACTCGATAATGAACCAAATGCATTCGTTGATTGCTCTCGGTACGACGTGACCTACCGTACCTGCCAGCTTCTGGACGAACAGCAAGCTACACTACTGCGCTTCATGCGCGACACGGAAAACAGCACTACCTGTTCGCTCCCCATTCTGCCGACAGAGAAGAACCGGAACCGAATTAATCCAGAAGATGCGATCCCTGTTCATCAGGTATATCGCGATCCTTGGGAGAGGAGTGCACCAAAAAGGCTTTTGCGAATGCAAAAATACATGGAAGACTGCGTGGTAAGCTCCTTGGACTTTCCAGAATATGGTACGGACGAGGAATTCAGAGATCGACTCAGAGATCTTAAGGAACGGGGTCAAAATGCGAATCGGGATCGTGATGGCGGAAATGCGGACTAGTCAATTGTTGCGGAAATTCAGACGCGACCTCAGAAACCTCACCTACGCCGGGATTCAAGGACGGAAGGGTTTCCATATAACACCTAGAAAAATTGCTAAAAGTTGAAGACCCATATTGTATTCAATTGCAGCAGGTTATCGTCACCCTCCCGCATTAGTGGTTTAGTGGTAAAATCCATCGTTGCCATCGATGGGCCCCGCGTTCGATTCGCGGCTAATGCAATTCTTCTTTTTGTCTTTCTTCATGAATCTCGCGTGATTCTATTTTTGCTTTGACATGCGTCGTCACTCCGCCCGAATCGTCATATGCCATATGATGGAGTCAGTAGGAACCTAGTGATGTGCATCTCTACAATCCCACATGCATAGCCTAGGTTTTGTATGCTACCACAATTTCAGTTGCTTACAACATTCTGGCGCCTCATATAAAAGTGGAAGTCGAGGTTTTGTGCAGAGATATATTTTTCATCGTTCACTTTGCTCAAAATCAAGACGATCCCACGATGAGGAAGATGGATGGACATGTTTTATATTCAACGTGCAAAGGGCAAGCACAGCGCCCGGGTATCTTTGATATCAATTCATCACTGTCGCTCACTTTCTCATCATCCCTTGAAAACTCCTGTAAACATGACCCTTTTCATCAAGGCTCGTGCATCTGGCTTTTTTGGTATTGGCTTCTTGATCCTGTTATCTCAAGTGTAAAACTTTTTTTTTTCCGAATATCTCTTTCTTTTTCTGTTTAAACTCATATCCAACCTCCGTGACCTGACGACCCAGGAGGTAGTACCCCAGGTGACGTGTACGTTCGCATTCGTGGTACTGGGTTTCTAGGCGCCGGTGGTCGCAATGCCGGGGGAGGAGCCAGTGGCCACTCATGGTTGTTTTGGTAAAATGGGTCATTTTCGTTCCTGTCGCGAATGAATGACGCGGCTATAGGAGTTGTGCGACTTCTATGCACTGTCGCAATGGGTGTGACTTGGTCATTGCGGTACGTATCAAAACTCTGTGGTTGCTGTAGTTGTTGTTGTTGTTGTTGTTGTTGTTGATGATGATGACGTTCTGATCTTTTTCGTTGTAATTGTTGCTGTTGTCGGTGTTCCCGATGGTCTTGGAGATCCTCTCGGTACTCTTGGCGGATCTGGATATAATCGTCTTTTGGAGATTGTTCCTGGAGCTCAATATCGCGCTCCCAGGGATTCGGCGTCGTCCCAGACGATACGGAATCCCCGCTAATGGGGTCATACGGGTTTTTGCGTGACGATTTGGTCCCTGATTTGGGTGTCGAGCCCGTCTTTACGGCGCTCGACCTCTTGCGTGTGCTGAACTCGGCCGGCCATATGTGAACAATGACCAGGCGAATGGTCGGCATGCAGAGCACAATGACTGTGACCTTGACCTCGAGCGATGTCCAGATGACGGGGCTTGTGTAGTCCCACGTAGGGTTGGACGACTTGGAAAATTGCAAAATGTGCAGCAGTCGGAAGCACGCAGCAAGGACGACGAAGCTGCCCAGACTAAACATGCAGAGAGTCATGAGCCGCTTCTTCCAAGGCATGTTTAGCTGGACTATAATGGGCAGCGGGATGACCATGATGGTAAAATCCTGTGCGATACCCATGACGGCCGTGTAGATGGCCAAGATGTTGACGTCGAGACATTGATGATGACCATTCGCGGCTGTGATTACCTCCCAGTTGTAGCTGATAGGCCAGCATTGGAATACAACCACAAATACGTTGGCAATGGACGATAATACCACCCACCCCATTACTATCCAGCATATTTTCCGAAAGACTCGAATGGAGAATATTCTTATGAGGAAGAGAAGTAGGCTGATGCGGCAGAGAGCCAGCACTGCAATATAAAATATTTCATCGATGAAAAAAAGCTGGAACAGTCAGTCGAATGCATGAGTGCGATTACTTTGGGTAGTCATACTTTTAATGCTGTCTGGATCGTATGAACGTCAAGGTCCCAAATGTCACGACCAAGTGCCGTTATGCGGACTGCGAATGCGTCTTAGTAAATTGACCATGAGCGGGATCTTAATGGAAGCATTATAAACTGACCATAATTGCCAAGAACAATAAACGGCAAAAGGGTGAGAAGAATGGCAAAGACAATCCAGTCATCTGGGCCAATCGTTTTGGCGATTTTATATCTTCCTATCAGGCGTACCAACATGCAGAGAACCGTGACAGTGTCAAGGACTAGAAATGGAGCTATGTCCTCGGTTTGGTGTCGCTCTGCTCTGCCGCATGCTACTTCGTCGGTCTTGGCGAGCTCTAAAGATCGAATCAGTACACCAAGCGATTCTCTTACTTCAGTATGGGAAAAGTGATGGGGTTTCCTACGTAGCCTCTCTAGTACTGTGCAGCTCGTCGATACACAATCATTGACAGCATTATATAGTGAGGGATCTTCGCAGATACATGTCGAGTTCGTCACCGAGCCGCACGGAGAGTCGGGTATCACCTCGAGTATACATTGCAACTAAAGATATTGTCTGTGAGCAACGCCAAAACATCAAAAGTCAAGAGGTAAAAACGGAAACCCACCCCGCATGCTGGAATCTGATCTGCATAATCGAGAAAACTTTTCGCTTGACATAGGCTGAACAAAACCGTGGCGGCCAACACGTAGAGCTTGACGACCTTCATGGCTGGGATCGTTGTAGCGACGAGACCAGACTTCCTGCGACCAGACTCGCCTCAGCGACACGCCCCTACGATGGTATAGCGATCCCAACTGGCATCTCGGAGGCCGGAAAGAATATTGTTGTTTTTCGTGTCGTCGTTCTTGTCGGAGAATTTTGGAGGGCTGATCGGTGCGGGCGCACTGGGGATTTTTGAGGCAAAAGTATGAGAACGACTCAGGGATGAGCTGAGCAGCCTCATTGTTGAATATGGCATCATGGACAACCCTGTTTGGAGACGGCTAGATCCACCGCAAATTAGTATTCAGACTGAGGCCAGGACCAGCGGTTGTCAGATCCGTGGCGGCGCGGCTGTCTATCACAAAGCTAGACGGGCTAGACAGTGCCCGTGTTCCTCACTAACATGAAAGCGTCTTATTTTGAACCTGGCTAGATATACGGACACGAGATTAGCGTGATGGAGGTTTATGAGCCGCCGATCTGATGTGGGCTGTTTCGGCAGAAGAAAGGCAGATGATAGACGGCCCACGCCGGAATGGGCCCTCATATCGTCAGCAAAGTACTGTATCATAATGTGAACTTTGCCATAGACGGACATGATCACGAATGAGAGGTCACTAATGAGGAGTTGATGACAGGAGTCTTGCAGTATCAGACGAATACTAGCCTCCTATTACAAATTATAGGACGAGGCAGATGTCTCCTCTGGCTGCTCTGGCTCCTCTGGTGGGCCCAGAGGCCAGTAATTG